AAAAAAAAAAAAAAAAAAAAAAAGAGAAGCTTGAAAGCAGCATGGGAATATCAAACCTATTCAAATTGTTCAGGTTAAAATATGCAAGTTAAGAGTAACACTGAGAGAGAGGAGGGGAAAAACGTGTGCAATAATGGTTTAATTTACCTGCATGAGTCAATCATATTTGGTAAGTGGGTGGAACTAGGAGTGAAGCAGTGAGCTGAAGACTGAGGGGAAAAAACAACAATAAAAAAGTTGAGGGTCAACTCAAAGGTCAAATGAACAGAAGTGTCCCAATTTGTATTCCTGAAAAACAATTTACACAGTGATCTGCCAAGTGTCATGCTTAACATGCCATGTTGCCTCTGGTATCCTTATGAGGAAGCTGTGAAGGGCCCAACATTTCAGTATTTTTCAGTGGTAATTTCAAGCTCTGTAGCTCCAGCTCTAGAAAAAATACAAAAAGACAAGTGGGGCATCATACTCAGGCACTGCAGGCCACGCCGCAAGTCTTACACGACTGGAGTCTAGAAACCCAAACCACTTTAAAAACACACATTTTACATAGCAGTGGTTTTGGTATCTGTGAATTACTGACAGATTTTTCAGGTTTAAACTTAACATTATTCGTCCTTATAGCCAGGATCTTCCCACTAAAAATAGGAATAAATGAAATAGACACATTGATGTTCCTTTGTATAAGGAATAGCCCTAAAGTAAGAAGATATAGGTACATTAGCAAGAGAGGTCTAAGGAGAAGAAATCTTAGTAGTTTTACTGACAGATCAAAAAACCAAAAGAAAAAAAATGCATATAGCATACACCTCCATAAAGCACCTACATTTCACCTTCAGCTAAATGAATTTAGTTAAAAGGGTGACAGGGAAGAAATAAGCAAGCCAAATCCAAGCATAGCATAGTAAACCTTGATTGCTATAAAGATGGAGGGACAGACTGGCACAAATGATCCTAACTACTGACATTTTAAGGAACCTTTTGGATTTCTGCTTTTTGCTTTGGGGAGGGCAACAGATTTGCTGGAATAAACCACCTGCTGAAGAGGAGGGAGGTTCAGAATACACCAAATGATAGAAAAGAAAGAACACAGGGCTAAAAAAAAAGTCCACTGCAGATCACCGCCAGTTAACTGTGTTTCCCAGACAGAATTTAACTCATTCTAATTTGGTTTCCAGGAAGAATTCTCACACTCACAAATAAATGTCATTTGTCATAAGACTGGGACCTCAATGATCCAGCTCTGGAGAACTGACACTCTATTAAGCCGATTCTCTGCTGCCCATGGATTCAAAAGGACCTACTGGCTCTGCCTGGGTCCACAGTGCTCCTGGACCCTTGGCCCTAGGTGCTCTAGTTCAACAATTAGTCACAAGGAAGAAAGGGCAAAGGAAAGTGGTGACCGTGCAAATCCTCTGAAGGCACAACTGTGTGATGCAACAGCATCAACCCTGGTCATGTAGATGCAATCCTCACTTGGCATTCCAGCGGTTCCTCAATGAACCCAAAGTCAAGCAGCAAAGAAATTCACAAGCGACCAATGTGCGTGCGCACACACACACACACACACACACACACAGAATGAATAAGAATGTGAATGATGATAAAATACCAAAACTAGGTGAGTTTTTCAAATACCAACATTATTGGGGAAAGAGGCCAAGGGACCAGACATCAACAGAAATAGGGAGCTAGCCCAGGACGTCAGTAGCAGAGATGGCATGAAGGAAAACAAAGGTGATAGAAGAAAAAGAACCAACCACTGAGTCACCTGGCAGCTTGCAAAGGAAGTAGCAGTGGGGGATGGCCCTAAAGCTAAAAGCAACATAGCTATATACACCACAGAATCCATAAGACCAATCCATACAGGATGGTTGCTGGGTTTGAGGTGTGGGAAACGAACTTAAAAATACCAGTTCCAGGCTGGGCGAAGTGGCTCAGGCCTGTAATTCCAGCACTTTGGGAGGCTGAGGCAGGTGGATCACGAGGTCAGGAGTTCGAGATCAGCCTGACCAACATGGTGAAACCCTGTCTCTACTAACAATACAAAAATTAGCCAGGTGTGGTGGCACGTGCTGTAATCCCAGCTACTCAGGAGGCTGAGGCAGGAGAATCGCTTGAACCCAGGAGGCGGAGGTTGCAGTGAGCCAAGATCGTGCCATTGCACTCCAGCCTGGGCAACAAGAGGGAAACTCCACCTAAAAAAAATCAGCTGGGAGTAATGGCATGTGCCTGTGGTCCCAGCTACTGGGAGGCTGCAGTGAGAGGATCACTTGAGCCTGGGAGGCAGGGGGTTGTAGAGAGCAGAGATTGAGCCACTGCACTCCAGCCTGGGTGACAAAGTGAGATTCCATCTCAAAAAAAAACCCAAAAACTAACAAAAAACCCCACAAACCAAAAAAA